AGTGATTTTCACTTCTTTCGTGCCTTACAAATTTTTTTACTGGGAAAAAAATTAAATTCTAAATAGGATGTACACAATGAACTTTCAAGTTTTTGTGCATCAAAACCAGTCTTTCTACAGCAATGGCATAAAAAAGCTGCCTGTAAGATGGCGAGACATTGTAGATAATGGAAGAAAAAATATAATTGACTAAAATGTTAAATTGTGTTTTTTTTATATTATTTAAAAATTTACCAAAAAATGCCCACGAATTTATGGACTGACCCAATATTTATTAGCCCAGAGGGCGTTAACCCAGAAGGGCTATTAATTTCTAAACGGTATTTTGGGTCGATTCACTTTTTAAACTGTAACTGTCACCATCAAATATTATCACCATGTATTATATTTAAAGAAATTAAATAATGAAGAATCCGCATGAATGTTTCTCACATTGTGAAGAAACAACAATACCTAGAGCCGTCCAATTATGAATAACGTAGTCCTCCAACCGAACATGGGTACTTGGATGCCCGAATTTTGAATTTGTTTTACTGTCTATTTCAAATTTTGTAATACCTTAACGAATTTTTTATTAACAAATTCAATGATTTCAAACCGAACAATAGCAACACTGTAGGGAAAAAAAAAAAAAAATTAATCTCCAACCCGCGAGACTGTGTATCAGAAATTCTACAGATATGCTGTTTTTAAATATTTTGTGATAATGTTGTTGAATAGAATTTAATGTGTTTTATGTGCGAAGAACAGTATATTTAATCAATAAAGGTAACACACTAAACGTTAAAAAACGCCGTTTTGGGCATAGTATAAAATCTGAAAGCCTTCAGAATTTTTTTTTTTTAAACTATCCTGATAGAATAATTCATTTATACCATTTTTTGAAGCGATAAACAACGTCCAAGTCTCCCGTAGGGCTAATCTTTGGAATATGGTAACAGGTAGTTTGGCGACATTTTGGTAAGGCGATAAAGGTTACTAGCTAGGACTTTAGCAGTGTACATGGATAAAGTCAAGAGTGTGCGCAATGCCATTTTTGTGCAATTCTGAGATATTTTTTTTAAGTGAAAATAGGTCGACGTGTACATGGATACCGTGTATGTGCAATTCTTAAAAACGCGGCGAGCCGTGGGCGATTCTGCCCTTTCTTCCAATTTCGCACCTAATCTTCGTCATGATTAAGCACTTTTTTCCATAAAAGTTCTAGCATAAGCATAATTCGGCTAGCAGATTGTTAGAAAAAAATGTTGAGTAAAAAAAAAAAAAAAAAAAAAATGCCTTTACTTCGTGAAAACAAAATGGCGTCAAAAAAAAAAAAAAAAAAAACTAGCAGGTTGCTGAAGCAGGGTTGGTCGCCAAAAAATCGCCAAGTTACCATAATCCGAAGATTAACCTCATGTAGTTGTATTTCAGACAGCTTCAATACTTTCAAAGATTTTTAAGCTTTTGCATCAATACAAATAAGAACTTTTTTTTATTATTTAAATTTATGTCGTGCCGCTCTTTAATTCTAAAATTTTACTCAAATGATTTTATTGCTATACAACGTCACAATCCTTATATACTATTAAGTAGACAATATTCATTATTTTATAACAGTTTTAAGAAATGATTGTTATTACTAAAATTAAAAACATTTTTAGGGCAAATGAACGTAATACATAGCTTTGATTTCACTATTTCTCAGATTCCTGAAGGGTGTTGCACTCTATTTGCGCATATTGATATTCCATACATCAGTAAATAGCAAATATCTATTTTCTCACAATGAAATAAATAAGATAGGAAAATAAAAACCATAAATTTGCAATAATCCACATCCTTTCAAATAGAAAATGTAATATCAAGTGTAATTATAGTAGCAAACACTATGTACTAAAATAATAATGCAAAAGTTACTTATCGGATGCAAGTTTGCAATTTTCGCGACTCTTTAAAGATCGTCACACTATTGATATTTATTGTAAGTCAGAAGGATTTTCAACGTAAAAAAGAAAACAATGAATAATCCAATTTGAAATAAAAAAGTTATGATTCAAAACATCATTTAAAATTAATGTAAGTATAAATTAAAATACATTCTGCTTTACACTAATAAGCGATTTATTAGTTTTGTTTCGCCTATGTGCACAGCGATCTGTTTTCGCTAAAATGTCAGAGAATTGCACAAATTCAATGTAATGAAAATAAAAAATTTGGTAGATTGTACCAGACGTACCGGATTGACGAAAATTTACCACCCCCCCCAGAAAAAACGCGTTTTCGCCGATTACGAAAATACGAAATGTAAAAAATTAAAACAATGTAAAAACAAGTGCACTTACCGTTACAAAAAGTTTGTAAAAGTGCAAAATACGTATCTATTTTTAAGGAAGAATAATAATAATTAAAAAAAAAAATAGCAGAAATAAAAATAACCAAAGTATAAAATTTTATTCAAAGCTCTTAATACAAATTTTAAACTCCTCCCAGTTAACAACTGTTTACAAGAATTTACTAAGTGCATGTTCTCCTATTTCTACACACTGATAGTAAAACATATACACTGTCAAATAAAACCCAGTCAGTTAACTAAAAGTCAACTTGACAATTATAAGAAGGCAAAGTTCTTTTCATTGTATGAGTATGGTATCCAGAATCAGGGTCAACGAAACTAATACTCTGATTTACATACAAATGCTTAAATCCTTCTGTTCCAGTACCTTTGTACAATTTCCAGCCATCAGAATACATTGTTGTTCCTGACTCAATAAACTCCTTTGTACAGTCTATGTTTTTTTTTTTACTTCTGTCCGCTACAGCCAATAAAAACAATACACCAGAACCCCTTTCCACACCTCCAAACACCCACTGCCCCTCAACAGGATGCCTTCGGTAATATTTCCTTCTTCCGAACTTAGATCTCATCAATTTTAGCTAACTTATCCTTACCCACTATTTTCTCAGAACTATTACATATGTAGTCCAAAATGGTCTCATTAAGAAACTGACGACAATCTCACAAAGTATGTAAACTAAATTGCCATGCCTTTTCTATTTCGGACGTCTTTCTCACATTTAAAAGTTCAAACGTCAAAATAAAAATCTTTATAGTCACCTTGCTAGATAAACCAGCGGAGTAGCGAGCATAACTGGTGCCCGGGCCCAAATACCTTTTCGGCGGCCTCCGAAAAAAACACAGTGATATGATGAAAATCGACCATTTGGCGCCCCTCTGCGAGCGGCGCCCGGGGCATCATACATCCCTTTGCCCCTCCCTCGCTACGCCACTGATGTAAATCAAGATCGAAACCTCAGACTTCGTGAACCACTATACTCTTTCCCATTCACAATTTTTCTACAGACCGATACACATCCATCCGAAACGTTATTTTTTTTCCTTAGTTTCATTTCGGATTCATAAGTTCGATTTCAAAAATCGGGAATCGCACAAAAAACGAAATAAAATACTTCTATCCGCATAGAAAAAAACCATGCACAAATACATAACACCAAACTATCTCTAAAAAATCGAGACCAAATGTCATCCAAAATAGGTGTTTGATATGTAGGATCCAAAATACGTGTATGGATAAATACGAATCTGTTCGGTCGCGATACGTTTCTCAATAACATCCTTTACAGACATAATAGATTCCAGCCATAATAGATAACACAGTAAACAAACAATCAAAATGGCTCGAATACATTAAAATAACATTCACGTGCCATCCAGCAAATAAAATCCAGGTGAGAGATGCAAAGATAAAGAAAGGCTTAAATTTGTTAAATGGGCTGCCATATGAAAAAAAAAAAAAAAAATTAGGCAAAATTCTCATGGTTACCGTGCAAGACAAAATATAGCCCAATTTGGCGGCCACTACATCTATCCGCATTTTTTGTTTAATTTAATTATCTTTCATGCAATAATCTTGCTCTCATACATTGTCTCTGATGCCACAATTATCAGATTATCCGCCAATTGTGCAAACTCACATATTCTTCCTTTATTTCGAAAATGAGTTGCATATTCATCTATGGTTATGGACGCGGTTTGATTTCTAGTTAAAAAAAAAAAAAGTCTTCATATAATATTTTTCTTAGTGATACAATATTCCATTGATTTTGTTTTAATTTAATTTTATTCAATTTCTTTACTTTCTTCTGCAGGAAGCATAAATTTCAGGACCGCGAATTCCTGTTACATGAAGAAAAGTATTATTAACGCTCACCTTCTCTTCTTGATTAGGCAGTTCACTGGCTACTTCATTGCAGCTTTCTTTGCTAGCTGAAAGCAATATTTCCGTCAAATTTCATCGGCTCTGGTAGTGTTAAACGTTCTATTTTGAAACGAAAACACTTCTACCACCATTTAAAATAAAGAGGGTGCATTTTTGGTTTGCGAAGATAGAATTTTAAATATTATACAGAACTGCAATATAAACATACTTCCATTTTACATACATCCAAACTGTTGCCATTCTTAAATTACTAAATGCTAAACATTACTCTTCACAAGTTGCGAAATTCTAAATGTTTACACTAGCAGAACTTCCCAAGGAATGCATGAGAGCTTGACGCCGCCGCTGAAGGAAAAAAATGAATTGATTGATATACTCACACTTGAGATAAACTTGAGTACTTATATATTTATAACATAAAGCAGATAAACAGCCTAAGCGACAATAACATTCAAAATTTCAAGGGTGAAACACTTCATCAGTAACATTATATTTACTTAAACGGTTTCTAATATGTTTCTATTCAGTTCTTAACGTGAACTGAATAGAAACATATTCTTTCTTCGGATTTCACTGTCGTTTCTTAGTGGGGAACTAACTAGCTAATCATAAAGATTTCAGTTTTGCTGTCGTTTAATTTTAGTTTCAGTCCGTAAAAATTTCAATTTTGCTCCTTTATTTTTAGTTTTAGCTCATGAAAACTGAAGTTTTGCTTTCGTTCACTTTTCGTTCGTTTCGTGTGGTAGCAGTTTGTTCGGCCAATAGGCGTAGGTCGTTTAACTGACGTTGTATGTTTACGAAATGGTGTCCTTCCGTAAGTATCCTTAAAATCCCGTAGAATGTTTATTTGTTTCGCTTACTGCATTCACTGTATGTGTTCCGTTTAAAGAAAGGAATGGAATACTTAAAGGAATTAGGTTGCAAAAACCGCCAACCAGAAGAAATATATCTGGAAGGAGATAATTTTATTATTGGTAAAAGCAGTTTTGATTTCTTAGCTCGGTATGCGAAAGTTTCCGACAAACATGCACTATTGCTTAAAAAAAACGATGTGTGGTATGTTAAAGATTTAACAAGTGCGCAAGGTGTTTATGTAAACTCTAAGAGGATTTATACCGAAACTCCGCTGCAAAAGGATAATATTATTGGTTTCGGCGGTTTTAAATTAGGTTCTGGTGGATTTATTTGCCAGATAAAAGTAAGATCGAAAAATTCTCGCAAAAAGAGACCTGTGCTTGATAGTGAAGAATCAAAATGTAAGAATTTGAACACTAGTGGACAAAATTCAGCTAGTGGCGTAGGCCAGCAGTGTCCTTCTGTCCGTAGTAAATCTTTTCAGAAGGAAGTGAATTCTTCAGACTCTAGTTCTTCACCGACATTTAGCAAAGCTTCTAGGCTCTTTAAGAGTAAATCATCTCAAAATGGCAAAAAAAGATGCCGAAGACCACGAATTTCATCTTCAGATTCTTCTGATGTGGGATATCAGACTGCAGATAGGTTTAATGATAAAAACAATAGCCAAGACAAAAATGCACCACAGAAATTTAAAAATAGCACAAACAGAAAGACAAATCTTACCCATACTTCTTCCTCAAGTGAATGCTCAGCTCAAACTATTGGAAAAGAAGCTTCCCGTAAAGAAAGTCCTGAAACAGTGGAAAAAATCAAAGGTTTTATTCAAAGTAGTTCACCTGGTGGCCAAAATGAAGGTCAGAATTTTTCACGTGCTATGAACAAAGATGATTTGACATCAGTTTTTGATAGTGATAACAATAGTGGAAGTGACTCTAGTGTGAGTTGCCATTCATTTGTAATGTATCCCTCAAAATCAGTTACTGAAAGAAAGCGTGACCTTGCAGTGTCTAGTGAAGATTCAAGTGCAACAGAATCTGCTACTTCTGATGCATACATTTTTGAAAAAACTGTTCCTATAGATGGTAATCTGCTAGAACCAGCTAACAGAATTGAAACAGGACGAGGGCAACTGCTCTCTAAAAATGAAAAAGAATGTAAATCTGTGGGCAAAACATTATTAATTGATCCCAAACCTATGCAACCGTCTTCCAAGCAGCGTGACAAAAATGCATGGTTAGCTAAAAGAAATCGGAGTTTTAATTGTTCTGAGAAGAAAAAGAAAAAACTAACTGGTATTTCTGAGAAATGTAAAGAAAAAAGTAGTACTGTTGCTAATGTCAGTAATTCTGAAGGAAATCTTAACTTCGAAAAAGCATCAAGAAAGGTCACAGAAAAAGATGTGTCGAATCCTAAACCTGCGAAATCAGATTTGCAGAATATTTCAAAGAATGATAAAATAAAAGAAGATAGAACTCCAAAAAAGACAGTTCCAAGAAGACGTGACAATTTTGGCTCAAGAATGGGATTTCTGGTAAATATGGAAGAAAATCCTTCAGTGAAAAGCAAAAAGCAGGAAAGTAATGAAAGTAACATTCGTATTAATGATAGCATGTTTCAAAACATAGAAGTTAAAATGCCTGAGCCTTATATAGCACTAGATAAAATGCCATTACCTAGCCCAGTTCCTGTTCTTAGTAAGAAAGACAAAAATTATGCTGAAGAGTTGGTTTCTTCGAAAGCCCTTAAAAATACAAGGCCTGTGTACATGGCAAATGCATCAACATTTAAAGATGAATCAAAACTTCCTGTGACTAAACACGCTGCCATATCATTGAGTTCCAGCCCTGATCCTCGACTTAGACGAATTCAGACAAGTAGAATGTCTTCTCCCACTACTCCTCAAATGAATTGTAAATCACTCCCTTTACAACCAGAAATTCCTCCAGACAGTGTACATGCATTTAACGCTATGCAAGTAAATTCCAGACCACCATCTGGTGAACCAAAAATTCTTATGAAAAGTGCATCTATTTCCAACACTGTGAAAGTGAATGAAAAGTCATCATCTGTAATACCAGAAATCTCTATAAGTAGCTTACCTTCTGGTTCCGTAGAGATAAATAGAAAATCACTTCCTTCGTATAAAGTATATAACGATGATAAACTAGGAGAAAATAGCCGTTTCTCTATCAGCAGGGTATCAAATACAACTTCATCTATAACTTCAAGAAGAAGTTCTTCTGAATTGCGTGCCAAAAATATTAAGGAAGATTTCATAATTAAAATAGTTCACTGGAAAATTGAGTGGCTGAATGCAGATACACAATTAATGGAGTTACTTCCTCTGATTAGTGGAGAAATTGTTCCTTTATCACTTTCATATCAGAGTGTGGATTCTTACATTTCTGCTGTTCAGTCAATGATATTGCTTGAAATATATGATATGTTGCATACAGCATGCATTGGTAAAGAAGAGACTAGAAATAATTTTCTTTATTCTGCTTTTTATTGTGAAAATAAGTGCAACTTTGCAGAAATACATTGCGAAACCATAGTAAATGATAATGCTTGCTATCCCTTTTCGGGTGACGTAATAAAAATGAAAATTTCCACTTTGAGTCGTGAAATAAATGCTCTTGGTTATGTTTCTAAGCATAAACTAAGATCAGATGATACAGGAAGTAAAAGGATCTGCGCATTTACTGTCTTCACACAGAATGTGCAAGCTTTTCTTCCAAAAGAAAATTTAAACGCAAGTAGAATTTCTTCAATAAAAAGAAAACTAAATTTAGCAGAAGCAGTTGAATGCCTTCGTACCTGTCCTCTAAAACAAGACATAATTGGACCAAGTTCAGAAACGTTTGCAGTTGATTTACCCATGAATGAATATAATCTAACTTTTAATGAGGTAATTCAGAGTATTATTGATGAAATTCAAAAACCCAGTACTAAACATAAAATAATTTTACTTCATGGATTTCCTGGAACTGGTAAAACTCGGGCTGTAGTGAATATAATTGAAGATCTATTTATCAGTTGCGTGTCTGGTAAAATTTTAGTTGCAGCATCTTCTGACTCTACGATCAACGAAATAGGATCTAGGTTGGTTGAAGTAAATGAACGATCAAGTTTTAGAGGAACTCGTATGAAGTTTGTAAAAATTGGACTGATGAAACAGAATTATCATAAAAAAGGTAAACCGCCTGACTGTTCTTCAAAAGACTCTCATGATGTACTTAATTTTACAAGTAAAAGATCTGGCAGCTTCAGTTTGGATAGGGAAGAAGATACGTGGCCTATGTCGCAGTATGATAAGCTTAATAAACGTTGGGTTTTTATCTCCGAAAAATTAAAGACTAAAACTTTAGGGGAAACAAATGTTGTTCTTGTTACAAAAGAAAGTTATGAATATTTTACTGCTTTCAAAACTGATATGAAAAAGTTATTTGAATACTTTATTGTAGACGAAGCTTCGCGGTTCACAGAGCCCGATATTCTTCAAATGTTGGGGCCTGCTATTAATACACTAGTTTTAATCGGAGATCATTTAGAATCTCATACTGTCATGCAGTCCAAACTGGCATCTCATTTTGGGTTCGAGCGGTCGATGTTTGAACGATTTTATGCAGTGAAAGATTCTTTGAATGAAAATGTGATCACATTTACCGAACAATGTCGCATGCATCCTCAAATCTGTTACTTTCCTTCAAAGTATTATTATGCATCAAAATTAAGAAGTTGTGCAGATTTGGACAAAAGGTATCAGTTCTTCCCATCTCGGCCATACTTTTTTTGTGATATTATGAAGGGCGAAGAGTCGAATGACGTAGATGATAATATGAAATGTAATCTCATGGAAGCTGCTGTTGTATCTTGCCTTTGTATTAGCATAAGAAAGCTGAGTCCGGAAATTTCCGTTGGGATTATTACAAATACGGTTGGTCAGATTTCACCCATTAGAAATATTATGCATCAACCATCACACTTTAAAGATGTTGAAATAAACACTGTTGAAAACTTTCAAGGGAGAGAAAAAGATCTAATTATCATTTCTTGTGTTAGAACTGAAAAACCACCTGGAGATCAAAACTTAATAACTTCCAGAAGCAAGCTAATAGTAGCTCTCACGAGAGCTCGTCAGAGCTTAATTATTTGCGGTTCCGTTAATTATTTGAAGCTATTTCCAGATTGGAATGCATTAATCCAAGATGCTAGGGAAAGAAAATTATGCATTTCTATACCATATTATACGTATGCACCACAAATTTTTTATAATAAAATGAGGAAAACCGAAATACCTAATATTATTCAGTAGTAACTGCAATTTAAGTTTGAAGCACAAACAATATATTTAATGTAAATGAATATGGGAGAACACATATGTATACTATTTGATTTTAATTAAAAGGCTTTCTTTTGTGTTCTTGGAATAAGTAGATGTTTTTGAAGAAATAAATTCTGAATTATTTCTAAAAGGCATTTCACTTTTAAAAAAAGGAAAGAAAATTTTTTACACCACATTCATTAACTAAGCATTTGCATACTCTTTTTCCATATCATTAAGTAAGTATCTGTGATGTACTTTTACCATGCCATTTTTCAAAATGGTCTTGCAGTTATTATAAATACTACAAAATGTGTGTTATCTTTTCTGTGAAAGCAAATTATTGTTCTTTTTATAATTTTTCTGAATAAATTTATGCTTTTTGATAAGAATCTCATTCTTCGTTAAGTATGTTAAAGAAAAGTTATGTGTGTTTTAAATTTTATTTTCTTTTTGTAATGCATAGTGTCTCTTGACACTGCTATTTATATGCAGCAGCATCATATAACTGTTATATGCATACGGTTCTGATACATTAAATGTTTTTTTTTTTGTCACATGCATATCAGAATTGTTGATTGTTTAGTTAAAAGTACATTTACTGTAATAATGTCAACTGTAGTTCCTCTATCTGTATATATGCAATTAATGTGGCCAAATTATGTAATATTTCTTTGTTAGTTTCTTGCCAAAGTAATTCTTTTTTCACCATTTACATATCAGCGTAACTAACTAAATAAGTCGCCAAATTTTCAGAATATGTCAAACTTTGGCAGCCATGCATGTTGCAATTTTTCAGTTGTATTTAGTAGCAACAACATTTTCGTATACCTTCTTTGATACTTTTCCGTTTAGCCGGCGCAAATCTCGCCAAGCAGACTTTATTGGCGACAACATACAGTATACACAAAAAATATTTAAAAAAATGTTAGTTCTAAGAATTCTTTTTTTGAAGGCATAAACATTTTAATATCGCTTAAAATTTTGTAAAAAGCCAACAAATAAAGACAATAAATTTGTAAAAAGACATTAATTTAAGAATTTACTATGCTTTCATGGTTCAACATCCTGATTCGCTGGTTCATATCACGTGACTCCAAGCGATCTCATCTCACGTAAACTACTCTACAAAAATCTAATGCTCTTAGTAATTATCTACATTAATTTCAAGTTAAATCTTAACTTGGAACATAAGATTAAATGCAAGAAATATTTCAATTCGTACGAATAGCTAACTTAGAAATTATGTAAAATTGCAGTGCTTTACTTCGCTAATGCATTCTCATTAAATTGAATTTAACCCTTGAATTTACTTTTTCTATATTTTCGGCATCGGATAAACGCTGTGATTGCTCCTCATTGACTTAAATACCGAAAATGGCCTTAGACATGAAACTGAACTATCTGATAAAAATTCTATGCAATTATATGCCAGTATTGAAAAAAAAAATCAATCTGATAAGAAAAAGCTGCGACTTCTCTTGAAAATGAGGCGTAAAAGGTTACCAGCGAGAATATTCCGTTTGGCATCGGTTGTACCATTATTGGCGACTTTATCGCTTGCGCCGGCAAAACGGAAAAGTACCCCTTCTTTTTGTTGTATTCTAAGTTTCTTTGTTGTTGCAGACAAATCATCATATTTTTTATCTTGATCTTAAAATATATATTTGTGTGATTTGTGTGCAATGGAAGAAACTTTCAACAGTAATATATTCTTAAAAATCTATTCTTAAAGCAATTGTTATGAAATGTCCACCACAGCAAAAAAAAGGGGGGATTACCTGCTTGTAAGTAGGTTTATTCATCAGTTTATAGTATAAATATCTAATTAAAATGAAAAATATATATGTAATTAATTTTTTGCAATTGTAAGAAGTGATTCATTTTCGTTTAGTTGACGAAGTAGTTGTTGCACTAATATGCATTTGATTATTTATCACTTCATTGTATAACTGAATGTACTGGCGAGGCATTCTGATGGTTATGTTATTTTAATCACTTTAACTATGACTTAACACTAACTGATTTGAGGATTGAGACTTAAGTAAGGTGATGATTAAAACATTTTAAAAACTGTTTCAGTGTCTAAATAAGCTAGTAAGTAGTGGCAAATTGTCTGAAGATACGTTACAATTGGATTTTAACATCCATTTTGCGAAAGTAAAAGTTCGTAGAACCTGTTCTTTTTTATTTCTGTGCTGCTAATGGCTGTTACTGTGATATTATGTTCTAGTATGCTTGGAATATGTGAGAATGTGGCTTAATTATGTGTGAAATTGATTTAAGTTTTTTTTTTTTTTTTGTCTGTCTGTCTGTCTTTTCTGTAAGTCTAGTCTATAAAGAAAAAAAAAATTTTTTTTTTAAGTGAAAATAATTTGTGCTAACAAAAAATAATTTTGTATTGATTGATTAATTTCATCATTTAATAATGTCAATAATGTGAAGTATTTTGAGAAAAACATTTTTATATGTGATTTATGAAATCTAGTAAATTTACGTTTAAACAATAAAAAACCCATTGTTAACTAAACCTTCCAATAAGTTAAAAATGAGGAAATCATTATATTTGAAGATATAATAATTGAATATTTGGTGAATTTTAATATGTGGAGTTATATGTATGATATATTTTTTTAATATGTGATGCTAATTTTGATTCTGGTAAGTTGCAATGTATGTGTATTCCTTAAATGTTATGTTGAGTTCAGATATATACCTATAAGCTTACCAAATTTGGCGAGTTTATGCGAATTGCCGACATTTCTACAGTCTAGCCTTTAAATTTTGCCACTCCTAAATTTGGCTGCATTGACACTGGAGCCGGCTTTAAAGACTAACAGTATTGTATGGAAAATGAATTCCCTGTTAAAAAAAAATATATATTGTCATATGTAGTATGTATAAAGTATTTTTGTGCATTTCAGTCAACAAACTGTCTGAGCTATATGAGTTTTTGAATGTGCTTGAGAAGAGCAATGTTTAGACTACGTTCATTAACTATATTTATAGTTATTTATTTTACTCCTAATTTTCATAACCTTTTAGGAATTAGAATGATATTGAGATGATTGAAGAAAATAAATAATGGGCTTATCAATAAGTGGTCATGTCACCCACAATAACCTTTTAGTGTAAACAAAAAAGCTGTAAACAAAATATGCAGCACAGGTTATTATAAAAAAAAGTTAACGAAAATGCTTGTATATGTGTACATGTAAATCGAAATCACATGCATATATATTTTGTGCACGTATTTACTTACTTCGTATTCGTCTGATGATTAACATTATTGAGTGGATATATATGTACATAAAATGTGCATTATATGATTGTATGTGTATTTTATTTATTTAATTATTTTTTAATATTCCTGAATTTATCAGCTGTTGTATGGCCTTAATATTTTTCTGTAGAATTAGTTGTTTTGGTTGTGAATAGCTTTGTTTACTATCGTTTGTAAATTGATAAGAATGTTATTTTGAAATCATGTTCTTTTAAAGGGAAGGACATGTTTAAAGAAAAACATTTCTGCCCCTGTTTGCTATGTATATTATTCTAGACATCTTATTTATGCATAGTTTTAGGAAACATCTATATCTGAAACTGATGTAGTATAACAAGTTAAAAAGAGTTCTTTTTACGAACCATATATTAGCTTGTTATGTACAGTTATATTCTTGATTTGTAAAATCTTGTTTATACAGTTCAGAGCTTTCTTCATTCAATATTAGTTGTATTCAGATTGGGATGTTTTTAGAAATTTTTTTTTAAGATGCTGCTTCTGAATTTAATGTAATCTTGATTCTGTATTTAACCACTTGCGCTACGACTAACCTTAATGGTTGCGTTACCGTGCGCTACAATATAACGAGCAGTAAAGTGTCTTATTTACGCCGCTCCGTGTCTGCGAGTCCAATCCAGATCTGTAACTCGAGAAATAAACTATCTCGTTGTCAGGCGACGTGTGCACCACGTTATTTTCATTTTTGCGATAAATGCCTGTCGACGTGGTGTTCACGTCGCTCACGGTTTGAGACAAAAGCATCTTGACGTGCCGGAACGTCTTTTTAGCGCAAGTGGTTAAAAGGGTACTTATGCATACACACTTGGTATTTTTCTATAGCAAGTGTGTATGCACTCCCAAAATGTGTGACAGGTAGATAAAAGAAGAGTATCTAAATAGTATAGGTGTTTCATAGATTATTAATTTGTATTGCTGAGCAATATTATGATTTTGATGTAAATTTGTTTTGTTATACAACTGTAGCTGTTTACTTCTGATGCAGTGTTTATTTTTATTCCAAAATTAGTGTAGTAATTTTAAATTAATGTTGTAGTCACTTGTGTATTTTTATATTTTTTGGCAAAATCTTATAAAAATATTTACAGTGAAAAGTCGTTAATCCGGACTCGTCGGGACTTCGGCGATTCCGGATTATCGGTTTTTCCGAATTATAGATCATCAGTTAATCTGGTAAGAGACATGCAGAAAATTAACAAAATTAAAAATTGAAACGTAATTTATGAAATAAAGAACATTATGATCTAAAGGGTATCAAAATTTACAAAAATAAAGCTTAATATTATTGTTTACTTTTAAAACATTCTTTCATGTAAGTGTTAAGTGCTTCCTTTCATGTATAATACTTCTCTTTAATTCTATTAAATAGACATAATTTTTGTTAGTTACAAAGTTCCGCTGTTCAAGTCCTATAAATCATCAAGACAGAGACATCGACATTAAAAACATTTAGTAAGGAGTCATAAGCAAATAAAATAAAAAATCTCCGTGAAGATAAGGATAGTAATCATAGGTCACGGCGTTTCCCCCCCTCCCCCGCCGCAGGCAGCGTGAAATTGATAAAGCTTTCGGATTTCGAAAAACTTTCGCTTTGTAAATCCTTTACATATTAGTAAATATATCGGAAATTATTGACATAATCGAAATTCAAGCTTACTTTTATAAATTGTTCAACAATCGCAAAAAAATAATAGTGGATTCCATTCGAAGATTAAAACACGCAATCTGCAACATAACTGAATTAGAGTTTATCTTACCTTTTACCGTCCATTATACATTAAAGGATGTGCACATATATTTGCAGCGTAATCTTACGCGCACGGGTAACGCCTCTCCGTGCGCAAAGTAGCATGCGCAGAAAGTTTGTAGCTTTGAGGTCCGGATTATGGGTGTCCGAATTAACGACTTTTGACTGTAGTTCATTAAAAAGAAAAACTAAACTGTAGTTTAATCCAAGTAACAAAAGTTCTACTTCATCGGTTTTTAATAACTATGTTATAATAAAAAACATTTAAAGTTCTATTTTTCAATTCTCCCTCCCTTCTTTTATAATTTTCCATATTAAAAATATTTGTCTTTGTATATTTTGATTTAATCTGATATGTAATTTTTATTTTCTGATCAAATCTTTGCATGAAATATTTGGAAGAAAATGTTTGAAAATTATGTAAACAAGATGTTCAGATTTTAAGTTTTAAAAAAAAATTTTCCTAAATTTGATAAAATTTGTCAGATTGTGAAAAATATTAAACGAGTAATTTTTTTCATACATCGATAATACTCTTTACTGTACAGAGCCCAAGAATTCTTTGTTAAATGCTGAGTAAGTCAATAAAAGTTATATGTTCTGTTGTATTTTCAACGTTTAACTCTGTGATGTAAATTTGTTTTGTTCTGCTGTTTTTAAGATATTTTTTATATGTAGTCACTTTATGAATTTCTGCTTTAAAAAACCTGGCAATTACAAATCATCTTGTAAATCAAGTTAAACTGCCCAGGCTTTTCTGTTCTGTTCAAAATTACTAAATCTACATTTAAAATATCAATTTTCTGATGACACATTTTACCATTTTTTGCAATGTCATCTTGGAGGCAAAATTCAAATTAGCACTTAGTTCTTATTTTAGAAACTCCAGCCATTATGAATGTTTATGAGATATACATATTTAAAATCTTAA